AACAGAATAAGACTCAGTCTCAAAAAAAAAAAAAAAAAAAAAAAAAAAAAATTTCAATTACCCTGGCATGGTGGGGTGTGCCTGTAGTCCCAACTACTCAGGAGGCTCCAGTGATACTGGGAGGTCGAGGCTGCAATGAGCCGAGATCACGCCACTGCACTCCAGCCTGGGCCACAGAGTGAAACTCTGTCTCAAAAAAAATTTTTTTAAAGAAAAGAAACCGAGATCTGAGTTGTCAGTGTGCTCTTTGGTGCTGGGGTGTAGTGTCTCTAAGGCTCTTCTCTGGGACCCATGATCCTTAAATATTTACTTATTGGATCACTCCCCTTGCAGTAATCAAGCTCCCATTTCTGCTCCCATTCCTTCCCCACCATGTAGATGCCTTCCTCACTCTTTCACCCTTCCTCATTTGAAGTACACAATTCAGTGGTTTTGTTTTGTTTTGTTTTGTTTTGTTTTGTTTGTTTTGTTTTGTTAGGCAGAGTCTCCTTCTGTTTCCCATACTGGAGTGCAGTGGCACAATCTCGGCTCACTGCAACCTCCACCTCCTGGGTTCAAGCCATTCTCCTGCCTCAGCCTCCTGAGTAGCTGGGATCACAGACACACATTGCCAAGCCTGGCTAATTTTTGTATTTTTAGTAGAGACAGGGTTTCACCATGTTGGCCAGGCTGGTCTTGAACTCCTGAGCTCAAATGATCCACCCGCCTGGGCCTCCCAAAGTGCTGGAATTACAGGCGTGAGTCACCATGCCAGCCTCAGTGGTTTATATATATTCAGAGAGTTGTTTACCTATCCCAAATAAAATCAATTTTATATAACATTTCCATTATCCTAAAAAGACACCTCACACTCCTTATAGACCTACAGCTTTTTACAAGGCTAGAAGTGGAGCATGGTAGAGGAAAGCAGCCTTTGCTCCCGGCTTACTTAACCAACTCTGGCCCAGAGTTTCCGATGACCTAAAAAGTCAGCCAGTTATCAGACCTGCCCTGAGTCTATCATGGCAACCCCACTCTGGCCTGCTCAGGATGTCCCCACAGGCCCCTGTCCTTCACCTCCCTATGCAGACGCCTCAGCATGCCTACCTTTGGTGGCAACAGAGTGAAAGAAGGGTTGCTCTTTGCCTTCCATTGGCCAGCAAAGCCACTTCTACCCTCCCCGGAGAGATGGAAAGGAAAAGTGACCCTAGTGTATGGAGCTGGGTCAGGGGCCTCCAGCCCAGCACAGTGATAGTAGGGAGGACCCTCCAGCCTAGCTCGGTGATGGTAGGGAGGACCCCAGGACCTCATTTTTGGTTCCAGGACTTGAGTCTCAAAAGTCAGGGCATTTGTACTCCATGAAATAAGAGCAGATTCTTGATCATTGTAGCCCCCTCCACCCACCCTAAGAGGCTCTGTGACAACAAAATCCAGAAAGAGACAGTGGGAGCAAAGCGGTGAGCTCAGAAGTGTCCTCCCGCAGGAGAAGAGTGTTCTGCTTGCTCTAAGCCTCCAGGATTAAGAACAGATATGTTTGTGTTGTGGAGTGGGGAAGGGGTACATTCCTCTAGGTTCCACTTCTATCAGCAAACTTTTGTTATCAAGAAACCCCCATGGTTCTCAAAGAATGAGACATGGTTCCTGGAATCACTTGAACTCAGGAGATGGAGGTTGTAGTGAGCCAAGATTGTGCCTATGCACTCCAGCCTGGGCAACAGAATAAGACTCAGTCTCAAAAAAAAAAAAAAAAGAGAGAGAGAGAGAGAGACATGGTTCCTGGAAAAATGAGCTGCCACACACTGATAACATAAGACAAAGTGGACAAATGTTAGGAGGAGGTAAAAAACATTACGCTGTAAGGCTTAAGGAAAAGAAAGAAAGTTTCCCAAGTACAGGGCTGAAGAATTCATACCTAGAGGAGGCTACACTTGACCTAAACTGTAACAGGTGGTTAAGGTTTAGACGGCGGGCATGGGCGGGCAGCTCACAGCAGTAGTGAAGAAGTGACACAGAAGATGTAGAAGTTCCACCATCTTCCTCTTGGAAGCCCTTTAGGCAATAGATCCAGGATGAACAAGGGAGGGAAAAGGAAGAGGTAGTCATCAGAAGAATCAAACATTGGGCTTTTGGACACAGGGACAGGAGCCCCAGTGGAGGTATCTGCCAGAGCAAGGGCACATGTGTCTTGAGGAGGCAGGAGGTGAACAGCAGTGGCGGAAGTTCAGGACCTGTGGCATAGTCCAGATTCCCTCTGGCTGAAGTCTAAATGGACCAAGGTGAGAAGCAGAGAATGAGCAGAGAGCCTCTGATCACACTGGGAGGGGGTCAGCCAGGGCTTTCAAGGTCAGCCAGCAATAGGTCCCACTCACTTTGCAGATCAGGTCAGCAGCCCAGGGATCTGGCTCAAAGTGAACTTAGAGGTCTGTGTGGGGAGCTTGGATGTCAGGATGTGGGACAGCTCGGCTGAGAGGCAAGGAACCAGGAGGCTGCATTCTGCTTCATCCTGGATCAAGATTCTAGCAAAGGGGAGTTCCCAGGGTGTCTCCCGCTCTCCAGACTGGAAGAGAGGATGGTGAGTGCACAGCAACAGACAGAATGAGAAAAGGCTGGTCCCACAGAGTTAGCTGGAGCTGAAAAAGTGACTGTCTCTAGAGAGAGGAGAGATTGGTGGGCAGTTTTTGTGACTTGGACATTAAAACACATACATACTCTCAAATGAAGTTGCATTCAGGCAAATGCAAAGAAATATAGAATCTGTATTTATAAAAACCAAAGGGAAAAAAGGGAAAACAATGCCTTGTGTGAGAATAATAAACATCAAATTCTATTGTTATTTTTTTGAGATGGAGTCTCCCTCTGTTGCACAGGCCGGAGTGTAGTGACACAAACATGGCTCATGGTCTTTGACCTTCTGTGCTCGGTGATCCTCCCACCTCAGCCTCCCGAGTAGCTGGGACTACCAGTATACACCACCACACCCAGCTAATTTTTAAATTATTTGTAGAGATAAGGTCTCACTATGTTGCAAAGACTGGTTTTAAACTCCTAGCCTCAAGTGATCCTCCTGCCTTGGCCTCCCAAAGTATGGGAATTACAGGCGTGGGCCACCACACCGAGCCATTAAACATGGAATTCTATAAAATGGTTATCCCTGTGGTGAGAAGGAGGGGCGAGGTCAGGAAGTGAGGGCTTCTGTTTTAATTGTAATATTAACATTTTAAAAATAAATGTGACAAACTATTGAGAGAAGACAGAGCTGATGGTTGAGACTTGGAGATTTAGAGACGTATTATGTATTTATTAAAGAGAGAGTGTACTATCTGCAGTTTCCATTGTGTTTGAACTATTTCATTTAGAAAGAAAAGATCAAAGGACAGTAACTCCAGGAAATCGGTTGGGGCGAGGAGCCAGCATGACTTGGTTGGGGGCAGGTTGGGTTGGGGCGCTGGCCAGCCTTCTGGGATCTGGTGGAGGAAGGGTGATCAGGCACACCCAGGCTCCTGAAGCTGGCAGGGGGCATGAAAGGAGGTGCCAAGGAGGAAGATTAAGGTACTATCAGAGTTAAGGGCAGAGCCCAGGGTAGCCCAGATGTTCCAGGAAGGAAGTGCAAGCGAAGGAGACAGCGGTAAGAGTGTGTGCACAGGGTGTGTGCCTGCAGGCCCCGCAGACGTGGCAGCTCCGGATAGGGGCTGTTCTAGGGCGGCCAGCCCTCCTTTACCCAGCTAGCCGCCAGTCCCAAAGGGAGCCCCGTGCCGGCCCGGACAATGCACCAGGTAGACTCTGCTCACCCCTTCCTGCCAGGCTGGGCTGACTCCCTGTGGGGGGCCCCATGTCTGTCACCCGCCTGTGAGCTTCCCCTTTTCCTCTGTACATCTAGAGATGCTTCCCCACCCCCTGCCCTGGGAGCTTTGTGGCCGGGACCCAAAGATACTTGCAAGGTAGGGAGTTGGGGGGTGTCTTTCCACAGGCAAAGGGATGCGTGTGGGAGATGGGATAGCTTGGACAGTGGGACTGAGGGACTAAAGGAGATGGGTTTGTCTTGGGCAGCCTTTCCTGGCTACCATGGGTGGGGCCACGCTGAGGGTGCAGGGTTAGAGGGAGGGGCTCCACCCGCTAAGATCTGCTCCAGGGTGGCCCATCTGGGAAGGGGAAGCTAAGGAGGAAAAGTTTCTTGGGTCTGCGAGGACCTCATCAACTCTAAGGCTTACAGTTTTGTGTTTTGCCACCTTCACTACAGTGCCACCACCCTTATCTAACACCCAGCAGGGTGGAGACAGACAGGCGTACAGATCATGACCCCCAGCTTTTGGTAGAACACTGAGACTTTGACAGAGGAAGACTGGCACAGGGTCTCCTCAATCCATCCTGGGCAGAGCCAGGAGTCCACAATAGGCACCCCCTCCCCTCCAGGACCCCAGAACCTGATGCTGAGACCTCGGCGGGGTGGCGGGGGCACAGTTATAGGAGAGGCATCCCCCTGCCTCACTCCAAGCTTCTAAGATTCATGTCCCCTCTACCTCTCCCCTGGCCAGGGTGCTGTCTGTCTGACTTCTGTGCAAGTGGGGAGTAAGGGGAGCCTAAGATGCTTGACAAGGACCTCCTTTTCCCAGGACTTTAGGAAGCAGGTGCTCTCTCACTACTGCCCAGGATGTGGGGACAGCAGCCCACAGCATGCCAAGACTCCGGACCCAGGGCACAGGATCTATTTAGGAATTTTGCTGGAGACCTGGGAAGAGGCAACAGTGGGAAGAAACTTGGGAGGCCAAACTCTATATGCTGAACTGTGATGAAGCCAGCACTCTCTTTGTCCCTATCTGAATGACTTTGTCTTCCTGCGTCTGTTTCTTTTTTCTCGATCTTTATTTCTGTCCCTGTTTTTGTGTGTCTTTTTCTTTCCCTTTTCCTCTTTCTCCCTCTCTGTGTCCCCCTCTGCCTTTTCTGCCTTTTTCTTTTTCATTTTCTTTTTCTTGAGATGGAGTTTTGCTCTTGTTGCCCACACTGTAGTGCAATGGCACAATCTCTGCTCACCACAACTTCCACACCCCGGGTTCAAGCGATTCTCCTGCCTCAGCCTCCCAAGTAGCTGGGATTACAGGCATGCACCACCATGCCTGACTAATTTTGTATTTTTTAGTAGAGACAGGGTTTCTCCATGTTGGTCAGGCTGGTCTTGAACTTCTGACCTCAGGTGATCTGCCTGCCTTGGCCTCCCAAAGTGCTGGGATTACAGGTGTGAGCCACCGTGCCCAGGCTGCCTTTTTCTTTTATGGTCTCTGTTGCCATGTGGTTTACCTCTGTATTATCTGTCTCTTTCTAGGTCTTTACTCTGACTTTTTGTCTTTCTGCCTTTGTCTCTGGTCCCTTGCCCCACCTCCCACCTCAGGTTCCTTTGGGTGTTTGTCTCTCTTTATTTTGGTCATTTTCTGTGTGTATACATCCATGTCACCCTCTCTCTCTGCCACTCCCCTCCCAGGCTGGCCACTACTCCTGGCCCTCTCCAGCTGTGAACAGCTCATGGGGGCAGGAGCCCCAGAGGCAGCTTCCGGAGGTGCTAGGTGGCACCTGGGAACCACCTCGAGGTGACGGGCTGCACATAGTCACCATCATCGTCACTATCTTTGTTCTGCTGGCAGTCTGCATCGTGGTGGCAGTCCACTTTGGGCCAAGACTGCACCAGGGCCGTGCCACACTCCCTACAGAGCCATCAACCCCAAAGCCGGAGGATGGCATCTACCTCATCCACTGGCGGGTGCTGGGCCCCCAAGACAGTCCTGAAGAAGCACCGCAGGGCCCTCTTGTTCCTGGCTCCTGCCCTGCACCAGATGGACCCAGGCCCAGCATCGATGAAGTCACACATCTATAGCAGCGAGACTGGAAAGTTAGCCTGATCTAGCTCAGAACAAGAAACCAGACAGAGAAATAGGGCAAAAGCAAATTGGAGCCTGGGCATCAGAGCGTCGGAAGGGCACACTGGACTCAGCTGGAGCTGCTCTCTCAGAACATTTATAGAGAAAGTCCTATGGTAGGCAGGAGACATCAAAGAAGCTCAAGGGCCCTGCCCAGAAACACGCTGCTGGGGGCCTTCCCAGGGCCCGAGGCCACCTCACAAGGTCACTCCCTCTTCAGGGACCACCAGGCCCCTGAATCTTCTTTTCCAAGTCTCTGCTCCTTCACCGAACCCCTAGCCTCCTTCCCTTTTGTTGTAACATGAATCCAGCTTGGGAGGTTCCACCAGCTCCCCCAAGCAGGAATGCCAGCGGCCCCATGGAGCGGCCCTGATCCTACAAAGGCCAGCCAGGGAGACCCAGGCAGGGAAGCTGGGGTATACCTTCCCTGAGACTCCCTGGGTTCAGGGAAGTGACGAATGCCTATCCTCCGTCAGTCAGGGGCCATCCTTCAGCTGTCAGGGCCCAGACCTTGTTGACAAGCTCTAAAGTCCTTGTAAGCCCAAGCACAATTTATAGTTCAAAGACTGGCTTTCAAAGGTCCCCACCAACTCTGTCTTGCCTCCCCAGAAGGGATAGGGGGAATTTGGGGGGCTCTCATTGCCTTCCACTTTCTGTGTGCCTGGGCCTGTTGGAAAAGCCTAGAATGTACCACAGGACATTTCCCAGATCTTTCCAGCTGATGAAAAAACAGGAAAGGAAAAGGAGCTCCATGGAACTTGTTTGGGGAAGGAAGGAGTGGGGTGGGGACCACTACCAGCAGTGGGAGGGCCTGGATCTAGTCAGCAGGGGGGTCAGGAAGATGCAGCCAGGGGCCAGGAAGACAAAACTGGACTTTCTGGTGGCTCAGTGCCTCCTGGTGGCACTGCCTTCCCCAGCACCTCTGAATCTCACTCATCTGTAGTCCAGAACATGCAGACAGACATTTATGGCAGGACCTCTGGTGCTTTACCCTGGAGAACCCCTGGGGGCATTGGCTGGGAAATAACAGAAGATAAAAAGGAACAGAGGTGGGGACTGCAGTGTGTACAGAGGACAGGCTTGCCTCTTTGGGACTGGGGAGAGGCAGCTAAAATGTTAATAGCTGCCCCTTGTTGGACAGGGGCAGGACACCAGGCTTCTCTGTGGACCTACAGATATGATACCATTCACTCCTCGAAAAAACCTCCAGGGGAGGGGCCGCTGCTATCCCTGTTTTACACTTGGGGACACTGAGGCTTGTTTATCAAGACACCTAGGTAGACACAGGTACTAAGCAGTGAAGTCAGGATTTGAACCTGGGGTCATCAGAGTCCACAGCCTAAGCCCTATGCTAGGGACTGGATGGATTGGAAAGACCTTTGATTCTGGGCTGGTTTCTAGTATACGAGCCACTGGTGTGGTGATGGGGGATTCTCAGGCCTTGGGGACAGGGTGGCTGGGATACTTCAGGAAGTGGGGACTGTTCCCGCTTGACCCCCTTGGCTCTGCCGTCCTTAGGGGGAGCCGGTTCCTTCTGACCAATGAGTGTCTGTGTGGAGCATTTCTCCACAGTGATGCTGTGCTCAGAAATGTATACTGAGCATTTGTGATAAAAAAAAAAAAAAAAAAAAAGATGGGAGGGAGGGAACGAGCCCAGCCTGATGGGACAAATGGAACTAGCAGAGATGAGCTGCCTTCCCTCCCAGATGGAGGCAGCTGCGCCTCCACAGCTTGTCACGGTGGCTCAGTTGTGACCATGATGGCGAAAGGTACGGCACGGCAGCGGGCTGTGCTGTCCAAGGCCCTCCAGGAACTGTCCCATCTCATCACACAAACTCTTTCTCCCTTGTCCCTTTGCAGGCTCACTCATCTGGCACATATAGTTAGTGACCCCTGCTCCTTTGAGTGGCCCCTTGCCCAGGACACTGCTGTGTACCCCTCATGGCATCATCTGTGGGCTGGCTCAGGCCAAGCCCATGGTCCCTGCTCCCCAAGCCTCTCACTGGAGACAAGGGCACTGAAAGGATAGGTGCCCTCAGCACAGTGGATGGCTCCGTCCAGATGGAAAATGACACCCAGCCCCCTGCTGGCCTGTACTAGGATGAGGAGGGGTGCAGGGAAGCATGCATGTGCAGGCAGGTTTGGGGCATCAGGGACAGTAAATCCCGTCTGTTATATCAGAGTCCAGCAGGAAAAAGACGACACTCACATTGGGTAATCTGAGGCGTGCTTTAAAAAGGGATCATTGAGAAAGGGTGGAGTGTAAGGAAACTGAAGGTGAGAGGGAGGACTCTAGTGGGGTGGGGGTGGGGCCCATACACAGCTAGACTTAAGGGGCCAGGGAAGGAAGCAGTTCCAGAACCCTAGAGACAGTCTTGGTTATGCAAGTGTTGCCCAGCAGGAGAGCCCACAGCAACCTTGATGCTGCAAGGTGGGAGCGGGGGGGATTCACTACCCCAAATTCAGCCTCCTCCCTTCCATTCTCCCACTGGGGGTCCCCAATAATGGAACATGACCAGGAGCCAGAGGGCAAGGGAGCCTGTTGGTACCATCGAGAGAGTTTGGTATACCAGAGCAGAGGAAGGGAAGAAGGGTGGGGAGTAGGTCTGGAAGGCCCAATGAAAGACACCTGGCACATGCCTTAAGCACCTAGAATCCAGAGCTTACGAGAAACTTCGACACACTCAGTCCTCACTACAACCGTGAGGGAGGAAGGGCAGTGATTATGATCCCTTTCATAGGCTGAAGCCATCGAGGCTCAGAGAGGGGAAACAACTGGCCCAAGGGGACAGGACTCCTCTCGACACGTCAAGTCCTGGGCCTTTCCCTGCAAGGCCCCTGTTGGGGGAAATGGCTCTGCTGGACATTCAGCCACTGAAGAAAGCCCCCAATCCAGATCCTTGGAGACCACCGGAGGCTCAGGCAGAGTGACCTTGGGTCTCAGAAAAGATCCGAGCGGAGAGGGAGGGGCTTTTCCATTCCGCTGATGAGGAGCTCAGGCTCTTGGGACATCGTGGAGCTAATGGGCACCTCTGAGGTCTTCAAGCTGCCCACAGTAACTTCCTCCTCTTCCTCCTGCCGCAGATGCCGGAGAACCTCCTGGGACAGCAAGAAGCTGCTTCCATCTGCAGGTTCTGAAACAGGGAGATGGTGGAGAGCGGAGTGAGGACCTTACACATTCCCACTTGAACACGTCTAGAAGACTTGCTGGGAAGATCCCCTAACCCTCCCTACCTGCTCTTCCTACCCACCCCCTACCCCAGCCACTGGGGCTAGAGTTTTATGGAATCCTAGAGCTAGAAGTGGTTTCTGGGAGAATGAAATTCCACCCTCTCACTTTTAGAGCTGATGCTCAGAGAGGAGCAGAAACCTGCCTGAGATCACACAGTGAGGGAGCATCAGAGCCGAGGCTGCAGCCCCAGCCTCCAGTGCCCGGTGCATACCAGCCTGGGACTCTTCTGTTTCCTCCAGGATTCCTAGATAAAGTGACAGGCCCCTAGAACCCACTTCTTCAGGCTTCATGGAGGGACTACAGTCAAACACCTAAAAAAGCAATCTGGTATGCTGAGAAGAGGGGGGCTTCTCCCAGGGAAGGAAGGACAGGCCCAGGGTGTGGTGCTGCCATAGCTCCTTCTGACTCTTTGGAAGACCCTGGGACCCCTGACTCCTGCTGCCCTCCAGCCTATCAACCCCTTACCCTATCAACCCCTCACCGTATCAACCCCTCACCCTAACAACCATTCACTCCATCAGCCTCTCACCCTATCAATCCCTCACCCTATCAACCCCTCACTCCATCAACCCCTCACCCTATCAACCCCTCACTCCATCAATCCCTCACTCCATCAACCCCTCAC